GTGATTGCGCAGATGTGACGAGGCGGGAGGCGAGCATCATGAGCGTCAGCTGGGTAATTTTCTGGTCCGGTGGCGTCTGCAAAACGCTTCGACCGAGGCGAGAGGCGAGCATCATTGAGCATTAGCTGGGTTTTTTGCTGGTCCAGTGACCCCCTAAGCTCCAGGCGTCTGCAACACCCTTCGACCGAGTGATTGCGCAGATGTGACGAGGCGGGAGGCGAGCATCATTGAGCGTCAGCTGGGTAATTTTCTGGTCCGGTGGCGTCTGCAAAACGCTTCGACCGAGGCGAGAGGCGAGCATCATTGAGCATTAGCTGGGTTTTTTGCTGGTCCAGTGACCCCCTAAGCTCCAGGCGTCTGCAAAACCCTTCGACCGAGTGATTGCGCAGATGTGACGAGGCGGGAGGCGAGCATCATTGAGCGTCAGCTGGGTAATTTTCCGGCCCAGAGGCGGGAGGCCGAGCTCTATGAGCATCAGCTGGGCTTCAAGGGCAGGCCACTAACAGATGCACTACACAAACAAGCCATGGGCTCCTTCTGCTGCTGCTTCAGACGACCTAGGACCTGGCGCGCCCTTGACCTGCAGCACGATGGACTCAACACCGAGCTTGTCCGCGACGAAAAGGGCGGCCTGCCAGAAGCTGAAGAGGACATTCATGATCGCTAACCTTGCAAGCTAGATATAGCGAGTTGATATCTTGCCTGGCTAAGTCCCACTCGCCACTCTAGGCATCTCACCCAAGATCTCAACCCAAGACCCTGCCCTTAACTCTAGCGGAAGCATGTCTGTGGATCTCCGTGTGACTCCATGGCACTCCGCTTTCCGCTTCCGACTGCTCTTGGCATCGCCGACAGCATCTTGCGGGAACCCGACACGGTGACCCTAGAGATCTCAAAGAGGGGAATCAGGCTCCGCCCTCGGTTGGTGTTTGGTGGAGGTTGGTGGTGGTTGGGTGGTGGTTGGGTGGTGGTTGGGTGGTGGTGGGGTGGTGGTGGGGTGGTGGTGGGGTGGTGGTTGGTGATGCTTGGTAGTGGTTGGTGGTTGGTGGTTGGTGGTGCTTCGTGGCGCTTGGTGGCGCTTGGTGGTGGTTGGTGGTGGTTGGTGCTGGTTGGTGCTGGTTGGTGGTGGTTGGTGGTGGTGGTGGTGGTGGTGGTGGTGGTTGGGTGGTGGTTGGGTGGTGGTGGGGTGGTGGTTGGTGATGCTTGGTGGTGGTTGGTGGTTGGTGGTGCTTCGCGGCGCTTGGTGGTGGCTGGTGGTGGTTGGTGCTGGTTGGTGCTGGTTGGTGTTGGTTGGTGGTGGTGGTGGTGGTGGTGGTGGTGGTTGGTGGTTGGGTGGTGGTGGGGTGGTGGTTGGTGATGCTTGGTGGTGGTTGGTGGTTGGTGGTGCTTCGCGGCGCTTGGTGGTGGCTGGTGGTGGTTGGTGCTGGTTGGTGCTGGTTGGTGTTGGTGTTGGTGTTGGTGTTGGTGTTGGTGTTGGTGTTGGTGTTGGTGTTGGTGTTGGTGTTGGTGTTGGTGTTGGTGTTGGTGTTGGTGTTGGTGGTGGTGTTGGTGTTGGTGTTGGTGTTGGTGTTGGTGTTGGTGTTGGTGTTGGTGTTGGTGTTGGTGTTGGTGTTGGTGTTGGTGTTGGTGTTGGTGTTGGTGTTGGTGTTGGTGTTGGTGTTGGTGTTGGTGTTGGTGTTGGTGTTGGTGTTGGTGTTGGTGTTGGTGTTGGTGTTGGTGTTGGTGTTGGTGTTGGTGTTGGTGGTGGTGGTGGTGTTGGTGTTGGTGTTGGTGTTGGTGTTGGTGTTGGTGTTGGTGTTGGTGTTGGTGTTGGTGGTGGTGTTGGTGGTGGTGGTGGTGGTGGTGGTGGTGGTGGTGGTTGGGTGGTGGTTGGGTGGTGGTTGGGTGGTGGTTGGGTGGTGGTGGGGTGGTGGTTGGTGATGCTTGGTGGTGGTTGGTGGTTGGTGGTGCTTCGTGGCGCTTGGTGGTGGCTGGTGGTGGTTGGTGCTGGTTGGTGCTGGTTGGTGCTGGTTGGTGTTGGTGGTGGTGGTGGTTGGTGCTGGTTGGTGCTGGTGGTGGTGGTGGTGGTGGTGGTGGTGGTGGTGGTGGTGGCGGCGGCGGCGGCGGCGGTGGTGGTGGTTAGTGGTGGGCGTTGGTGGTTGGTGATTACAAAATTCTAGAGTTCCCAAGCGTAGGTTCAAACGCCTTCGCGGATTTGTGTCTACACCCCCTGCTCAGCCTCCTTGGAACACTGTAGGCATCCAAGGGCTATGGGCTATGGGGGTTCAGGATGAGAGCTTGTGACCTTCCTTCTGCTGGCCTTTGAGCTCTGAGTTGAGGCGTGTGGAATGTTGTATGATGTTGTATGATGTTGTATGATGTTGTATGATGTTGCATGATGTTGTATGTGCGCAGCGCCAAGAGCGCACGGAGTTGCGCGCGGCACACCGGCCTCAATGGCGCGGTTGGCGTTCGGCAGGAGCTCACCTAAACACTCTCCCAAGGTTCGGGTGTGAAGTTGTTTGAAGTTGCATCTTTCTGTTCCTTTACTACCACCTGCTACATCCTGCTGCTGCAATTTGCAGCCAAGGCGCCGTAGCGCTTCTCTGTAGTGCACCAAACAACCTCGAATTCGACAAATGAGTGTGCTGCAAGAGTGCTGCGTGTGCTTACTGTGCACCTTTCACAAGGGCGTGCCGTGACTCCCCATGCGTCCCCGTGAGGCCTGCCTCACCCTTTTTGTCACAGAGCGCTACGTGGGTGTTGTTCTTGGACTTGCGGACGACCAGCATCTGCAGAGAGAGATCACGAAAGCCGCGAGAAATCTCACTGAGCACTAACGTGCACTGACCCACATACACTTCACAGCATTCTCTCGACTCTGGGATCGGGGCCGCGCCGCCCTGCAACCTCTCTAGAAAGTAGAAGAGAGAAGGAAGCAAAGACTGCAGAGAGAGAGAGAGAGAGATGGTCCTCATGTGTGTCTTTGTCTCTGTGATGCGCCTTGACACTTTGCTCGGCCTTCCTGGCTTTGGATTCCAGCTCGACACTGCCGCTGCGAGCCCGGTGCCTCGGCTGAACAGCGGCGAACAGTGCTTTGTGCCTTTGTGCTTTGGGCCAATCCGTGCAGGGCCCAATTGATGTCGAGGAACGGCGCAAGCGGGCGAGGCTAGCCACAATGGCCTTTGCCACGACATGGCACGGGGCCATGGCACGAGCCACTGTGACAACACGCTCGATTGCAACCACCGGCGCAACGCAAAGGCCCCGGCTCCTGCAACACCCAAGTGAGCCTCGTGAAGCCAAAGCAGTGCACCGTCTGACAGGGCCGATATGTCGATGTGTTTGGGCGGCCGGCCGCGAAAGACGTGCTGCTCAAGCCAGGAACCTGCAAGCAAAGCTGCACCTCCACCTGCACCTCTGTACACCACGCACAGGGACCCACCGAGACCGGAGAATTGGAACATATTGGAAAACCGATTCGGAGCCCATGGAACCCTTCCCAGCCTCGCTCTGGAGCACATCCTGCCTGCTGCGTCGGGCTCTCGGGGCCTGCAGGCCTGGAAACGCACAACTCCACAGAGCAGAGGCGACCTCACACAAGCTATTTCGTCGCTGTAAAGTCCTCAGCCTGGCCTTGGGAGCTGCTTGGAGGGGCTACGAAGGCGTGGCACAGCGGCAGCCTTGGGGACTTGCAAAAGGAGGGCACGTTGGCGTGCTCTCTGCTGTGGCAATTGAGTATTGCACACTACGAGGAGGAGCCACCGCCTCAGCATCGCATCGTGTAGCATTCAATGGGTCAACGCAGAAGAAGAACCGCCGATGTCGCATTCCACATTGGGAGATGAGATTTCTTTGAGATGTTTCTTGCTCTCACACACACACACACACACACATCGCTGTCCTCTCTTTGATTTCTGGGCCCGAGGCATCACTGCGGAGGCCGGCTCCCAGCCTTCGAAGCGAGGCAGCGATGGGAAAAGTTGGGGCTCGCAAGTGTGCGGGGGGGGGGGGGGGGGGGGGGGACCTCGCACAAGGACTGTCTACATCTGTGTCTTTTATGACTCACAATGACAAAGAAAGGCGCTGTGAAGGGGAAACATGGGCAAACTGAGCCAAGGCGCTGAGGGCGTCGCACAGACTGAAACCCGGAGCCCGGAGCCCAGATGGCTTTGAGCAGATTTGAGCATCCAGCATCGCCAAGGTGCTTCAAGGCCAAGATCCGGGGAAGAATCAAGCATGAGTTCCACTTGTGCGTGCGTGTCTGACTTTTCCCATGTGATGTTGCTACGGTGCCTTTGAACGATGCTCCAGCATCACTTTGAATCACGCTACATCCGGAAGACCGCAAGCTGTGTCACAGACAGGCGCATCTGTGTCGCGGAGCAAGCGTACGTGCCGCAGTTCACTTCTTCTTGTCAGACCCCAGGACCTGCTGCCAGAACTCCATCTTTTTCTGAGCCTGCCAAGCTGGGGGCTGTGCCCAACAAGGCAGAGAGTGGCAGCCCAAAGCCTCCCTGAAGCCGCCAGGTACCCTCTGATCACAGATGATCATTCTGTGGCGCGTGATCTCCTTGATGACAATCAGCCAGAGCACATGGAGCAAACACTCCGCAACACTCCGACATCAACACTTGGAATGACAAGAGAGCTGGAAGAGGGACCTCCCGCGGCTCTTTCTTCGGCTTCTCCTCGGTCTCCGGCATCCTTGCGGGAGGTCACATAGCAGGTCAAAAATCAGGGGCAAAACGATCTCCCACACCCCCGCGCCTGCGTGCGGCTCTCGGCGCTTTTCGCTGCTGCTTCTCTCGCTCTTATTTCCCCCTTCCCTGCTCCCTCTCTTCTCTCCCTGAACTGCACCCTCCGCTCTTGGAGCCGACACGGAGCAAGCCGCGGATCAGATCGGAGCAGAGGGCTCGAGAGGTCTTTCGTCACTTGCACTCCCCGCTGTCCTCTTTTCCCAGATTTCTCTTCGGAGAACTCGATCCTATGTACAAGCTGATGCCAGCAGCCAGCACCTGCTAAGCCTCGGGTTCCGTCAGCCAGGCCACGGCACCCTCGACCTGCCAAGCCGCGCGAGAAGAGAACGCTCAAAGGCACAAAGCAAAAAGGAAGCAGAAAAGAAAAAGAGGCAAGCAAAAGAGGAAAGATAATAAGATTAATAAGAGAAGGAAAAAAGGAAGAGAGAGGCGAAGGGGATGCGAAAAACTCTTCTGGCCGGGCCGTGGAGCACCGCGCCGCGGCCTCCCGTGCACGGGGCAGAGGGAAGCCCAGCCTCTCAGAACTCAGAAAGAACTCCAAAAAAGATTCTGATGTCCGCACCGCTCACACCGCTCTCACACCGCTCTCACACCGCTCTCACACCGCTCTCACCCCCCTCTCGTGGAAATCCCACTCTCGTAGGCTCTTTTGGAAGGTTCTGCCCCGCGTGGAACCCGCACAGGCCCCCCGAAATGCCCCACAGCCTACTCTCGTACATTCTTTGAATGACTCCAGCGCAGCCCGGGCCCTCCCGCCGCTGCCATACCCAGCCCACTCTTTGGTAAAAGGCCCTGAAATTCCCCTCTGCTGGGACCACTCGGAAGAGCTCTCGACGGGCTTTGGTATGCATCAGCTGGCGACTCGGAACTCGAAAAATGGCAGAAAGCTCAAGGCTCCCAAAGGACGCTCTCCATTCAAAGCGCCGAAGATGCGCAAGAACCCCCCGCAAGAAAAGCCCAACAAGAGCAGTTTTCCCAGCTGTGGGCGACCGCCAAGCACACTCTCGAAGGTTCTTGGCTGGGTCCGTCTCCCCCAGTGTGTAGGGAAGGCGGCTTAACGTTCTAGACTACAGTTGCCTTTTGGGGGTCGGTGGCATTGGCGGGAGCCGCTGAAACACGACAACATCTGAGATGAACGTTTGGTCTCAGCTTGTCAGTCTCTTCTTCCACACCAGAAACATGTGCCCCTGGGGTGGGGACGCGAGGAGCTGCTCCACAATCGGCGATTGTTCGCCTCTGCGGACAATTATTGTCACCGCACACGTATCGCAGCGTGGAGAGCAGCGCCAGGCCCCATACAAGACCCCGCCAATCAAACCCCTAAGTTATAGGCCCTCTCTCAAGGCAGGTTTGCAGGAATGCGGGGGAATGAGGGTATTGCGGGACATGTGGGAAGAATTGCCTTGCGGCATTTCATGCTGTCCTCGCTTGCCTACGCTTGCCTCCTTCAAGGAAGACCACTGTTGATCGCTGTCAAAGCTGACGCAGCTGAAGCTTCAAAAGGGCCGTTCGGGCGGAATCGAATGAGGACCTCCGCCCATCATGTGTGCGCCCACCTTCCTACAGAAGCGTGGACGAACTCGCAACGAAAAGATCCCTGTGACATGAAAGCATGCAGGGCCGCATGTACCGATATTCTGCCACCTCGATACCCATTGCCATCGTTGTCAGCCTGGCAACGGCCCAGAAGGTCATCATCGAATCTGCTAGTCAGCCATCGGGGCCCAGGCAGAGCGCAGCGAGCCTTTGTTCCATGTGAAAATGCATACATCATACAAAGCGTCACAGATAGAGTCAGAGAGCGTCCAAGTCCTCTGCGTCCCGTGAGCTCTGACAGCACGGCCCTGGGGAACAGTCGCAAGACGGGTTGTGCTACAGGCTGCCTTGAAGCTACACTTTCACATACACAACACTATGCTTGTTATGCCACCGTGCACTCTCAGGCGCAAGCAAGTTCCCGAGCTTCTTCTCCAGTGCCCTCCCAGCGGCCGCGCTGGCCGCCTGTGCGCACATGTGGAGGCCAGCTGATAGCTGATGTCAGCTGATGTCAGCTGATGTCAGCTGATGTCAGCTGATGTCAGCTGATGTCAGCTGATGTCAGCTGATGTCAGCTGATGTCATGGATTCGCGCAGCAGCTGACTTGCCGGGCCTCGACTTGGGGAGACACATACGAGGTCTCTGATGCCAGAGGCTCCACGGAGAGGTCAGCGTCCCGCATGGCCCGCAGAGGGACATGCGGCCGCTCCTTTGCAAGCCTCTTTGCCAGCGACCCCAGGGCCTCACATGTAGTCCTAAGGCCATCCCCGCAACGCATAACAACTCAAACTGCATTCTTCATCGTTGAACTGATGCAACACAGGCAACACAACACACCCCTTCCAGGCCTGGACAGACTCCTCTAGGCAGCAAAGGCAACAAATGCCAAAAGGACTGGGCTTGGGGGCGGGGGATCTTGCGGCTGTATCACGGAAGGCTTTGCAAATCTCTCTCGTGCATCATGCCCTATAAAACGAGTGACTACGAGAGGGACTCTGCGGCTCTACGAAAGACACAGAGCGTCCACACACCTTCGGTGCAGGGTCCTTGGCCACCTGTGTGGACTCCAGGGCCCACTCCATAGCCTCCTACACCACTTTGGCACAACGGAGAAGCAAAGCTGCACTTAAGGACGGCGGGGAAGAAGGTGTACTTAAGGACGGCGGGGAAGAAGGACAACTCAGTGTCCGCACAGGGATGGAGAAGCTTGGAGAAGCTCCTTCTCCTCCTCTCTTTGGGACTCTGTGTCTTCTCTGAGTAATCTTCCCTCCCCTTAAAACGATCTACTGTGACCCTTCTCCCTCTGTCTATATTATATATATATGTATGTATGTATTTATGTATGTATGCAGAGATATATATATATATATGTATGCATGTATGTCTTCTCTCTCTTGCCGACTCTTCCCTTTGGCTCTTCCCCCATGCTCGTTCTTCCCCTCCGCCTCGGTGGAGCCGGTGGGGCCGAAGTGCCGCGCGGCCTCCAGGGCGACGTCCTGACCCCGTCTTCTCCCTCCCCGAAAAGGCCAAAACCAGCCACTTGAAGGAGAAAGCGGAAAAGAACGGGCAGGAGAAGCTGGGAGGGAGGGTTTGCAACTGTGAGGGCTCCAACTGGGACAGCTTTTTGGAAGGCTCCTGGCTGAAACCCATCTCCATCAGCTGAGCTGTCAGCAGCGCCTCGTTGAGCATTTCGGAGAACAACTCAAGGGACGGAATTTCGCAGACTCAGAAGGCTCTCAAAAGGCTCTCAAAAGGCTCTGAAAAAGCTCCACTCTGCTCGCAGCGGCCCCATCGGCCCGGGCTGCAGGAACTGCAGCCGGCGACAGCGGGGGCGGTGGGGGCAGCGGGTCCTCCTGGTACCAGGAAGCTCGAACAGGTCCAAAAATCTAACAATCAGCACAACTCGGAAATCAATTTGTGTGAAGATAGGGGTGTCCGAGTGTGTCGCATCATCGCGCCTCCAAGTTCAGAGCTGGCGCTAGCTCCTCTCAGACTCGCACAAGATCTCGCAAGCGGAAGTGTTTTTGACAACAAACAAAACTCTGCTAACTCTTTACCTTCTATGCTACTTACTTTGAAGGCTTGGGCTTAAGCGGCTCCCTCTGTGGCGTCTCTCACTCTCACACGTCTCGTGCCTTTTGTCGCGACATGTCCGCGGTGCTTCTTTGGGGGTCGCGTCGAGAGCTCAGCTCTCCCTCCAGCTCCACAGGGCCCGCATTGGGTCCAACATGCGGGTGCAGAATGGTGCAGATGCGGTCTAGGATGAGCGGTCACCGAAGGTCGCCGGTTCTAATTGACCACTTCTCGTCCACCTGCTCCACCACGATAAAGTCGCTCATCGGTGTTGGAGTTACTTCTGACGGCCCTGACAGGGGTTGCGAGATGTTGCGAGGACTTGAGTGGAGAGTTGAAGAAAGAGCTCCGCTCTAGAGTAGTAGTGGCCCGCCTGTTCCTCCTCTGTAGCCACTTCCTCACGAAAGCTCCAACATGACTTCCTGAATCTGACAAGCACATGCTCTTCATCACCTGCCTTGGACTTCTGATTCATCCGCTCAACGTCGAACTTGACCCCCCTGTACATTCTCTCCTCTGGCAAGACTGGAGATGCAGTCTCGGGCAATCCCTATGTCAGGTGGAAGGCGTCGGGATTATTGGGATCATTCATGCATCCCGAAGTATCTACACAGGCCCCACCCCATGTGCGCTCCGAGTCCTTGTCGATGCTTCTGCTCATGACGGCATAGCTGGCGGTGCCAATCGTTGCCACACACGCCAGGCCGAAGATGATCTTTGGCGCATTGGGCATCTTCCGAGGGAGCATGTTGTGAGACCTCTCGAGCCTCTTTGTCGCCTTTAGTCGCCTTGGCGTTAATCACCCTTCCCGGATTTCCTTCGAGCCCACACTGCTGTGAGTGGGCAAAATTGCGTTCTAAATATGAGAGAGATTGGAGAGAGAAAGAGAGAAGGAGATAAAATAAGAAATGAAGAGAGAAAAGAGCAAGAGAGAGGGAGAGAGACGGAGAAATAAAGAAAAACACAGAGAGAGAAGGAAATAATGAATAAATGAACGAACGAACGAATGAATGAATGAACGAGTTGTGGGCGGGGGGGCGGGGAAATTGCACTGTCTCGCTGCCACTGTGTTCTCTGTTCGCTCGTTCGCTCCAAGCATCACTCAGATATGCCGGTTCTCCTCGGTCCTTCTGAGGCCCTATTTGTAATCGGCCCGATGTGATTTAAGAAGGCGTATCTGTTCGGATAACTCCTGATGGGCTCTACACACCTCGAAGTCGAATCCAGCGATCTGAGCTTCTCCAAAGGCCAGGAAAGCAGCATCCATTCGGGCGGGCTGACATGCACGCGTGCGCGTGTGCACGCGTGTGGGTGTGTGGGTGTGTGTGGGCATCCCTGGGTACTCGGGCAGTATACCAGCGCTCTCCCCGGAGGGCCGCCAGCGAAGACGCCCTTAGAAAGGGGCGGTCAACGTGCATTGTGTGGTGATCTGCTGTGTGCATCATTCTTGGTTCATGCTCCTCTAGTTTTGGAGCAGTTCAAACTGTTGGAATCGTTGGTAGTGTTTATGATTCGCACAGCGAAAGCGGGAGGGAGAGAGAGAGGGATGGGAGACAGACAGATCATTAGGCAAGTCGCACACAGGCAGGCCAAACACAGAAACAGCTAATCAGAGTTTATGATAGTTTAAACTTGATATGAAAGTTAATGCTCTCGCTCTTTGCGCTATTGTGTCTCCAACTCTTTCCGTCCTCCTTGGGCGAGCGCTTGAAGACTGGCCCCGGGCTGGGCGCTGTGGGCCTCAGCTTTTCTGAAGATTCCAAGCCTAACGTCCATCCAATCGTGGCTGTTCTTCAAGGCTCAATTCTGGTGGTTTCTCGTTCTAGCTTCCTGTTCCATCTCTCTCGAAGAGGGCACAAGTGAGTTGCACAACTTGGCCCGTGGCAGGGTGTCCACCAGCCGTTCAGCCAGGAAGTCTGCAGCCTGACAACCAGCGGTCAGCACATGACTGTCACATGACCATCATGAGATTGCCATATGCCATATGCTATCATATGCACACGACAGCCACAGCCCACGACAGCCACAGCAGCCCGAGCCTGCTCCAGGTACCACTTCGGTCCTTGCGCGTCTTTGCGTGAGGGGGAATGGCAATGCACAGGAAAGCAGCTGTAGGTGTGAAATGTCGTGCTTCTAATTTATTTATTTCTTTCTTGACGCTTCACAACTGCGGGAGCAAGTTTCAATGGGACTCTCTTCTTCGTGGCCACACGCCTGCAGCGCTGAGGCTGAAAGGCTTCGTTCCCCCCCCCCCCCGCTCCAGGTCTCGCAACGTGCTTGTGGCGGTGCTCGTTGCAGCGTTTTCGCCTTTTGGAGAAGCTGGATACGCTGTGACACCTTCCTACCCTTCGCCATCTGAGACCCCACTTTCTATTGCGCAGTGTCATCGAAGCCTTTGCTTTGTGCTCCCTTTGCTCTGTGCTCCCTAGCAATCTTCCACATTTCCTGCTCGCACGGCCAGCTCTCGAACACACGCGAGTTCCGTCTACAAGCGTCGCCAACTGCTGCAGCTGCTGCTGGCCGCTCCAGAGCTTTTTTTCACGCTCTGGAAGACAAAAATGCATCACTCACATCACTCTCACAACGTACCAAACACTGGCGCCATCCGACCAAGCTGCGGGATCCATTGTGGCCACCTTTGAAGGTCACCAGCCTCGCAGCATAGAGTGCGAAGGACCACCTGTCCACCTTTCTGGCCTTTCTGGCCTTTCTGGCCTCGATTTTGTACCTTAAAGCCTGAGGAGTTTTTCTGAGGCCACATACTTTGCTTCGGCACCCCAGACGGCATGCAGGTCGCGCGTGTGATGTGGCAGCACGAAGTCCTAGGGAAACGCGCAACACAGCGTTTGTCCAATCTAAGCTCCATCGTGCTTGCACTGAGCATACTGAGCTTGCTCGCATCGTCTTCGGCTACCTGACGTGCATCGAGCAATTGCATACAGTAGCGACGCGAGAGCGCAAGAGCGCCAGAGCGCAAGAGCGAGCGCTGCGAGAGCATCAAGGTCCGGACGGCGAAGAGGGCGGGTGACCTCTGAGATCTGAGATCTCTGCACGATTTCCAGGGCGCCCTTCGTGCTTCTTGCCTCTGCCTCTGCCCCCACCCCGCCCCCTCCCCGACCCCAAAAGGGCACTGCCTTGCTCGAGGAGCACTTCGGATCGGCTGCAACTCCTCCCGCTGAGACAGAACCCCGAGGAGCCCGTTGAAATATCATAAGAAGCTGTTCTTCTTTACAGCCCCTTTGAGAGCATATGTATTCACGCTTTCACGGTTTCACGGTTTCACGGTTTCATGGTTTCATGGTTTCACGGTTTCACGACTCCCCGCCTGTATGTCGAAGTGCGCGCGCTCCTGCGAGCCCCACCGCTTCCAAGCAGCTACAGAATGTCAACGCCTCAACAACACACAACAACACACCAGTTCCAAGGGCGAAAAGGTCTCAGCAGGCTCACTGGTCCTGGATCTCGCTGCGAACATGGCTGAGCGCCAGTGTCCTTGGCGAGAGCCAGGAGAAGGAGTGAAAAAAAATCACGTATACGGAAGGAGAAAAGGCGAGCGAACTTTAACTTAAGAGTGAAAGATCAACATGGCTTAACAATCGAAAGCGCCTAATGATCAAAGAACGGCCGGAGCGGCACCAGGAACTCGGGAAGGCCGACCTGGCCTGGCAAAGGGCCGCAGCAAAGAGAAGCAAAGAGAAGCAAAGAGAAGCAAAGAGTGGCCAAAGGGAGAGGAGAGCTAAAAAGGGAGAGAGCAAGCAAAACTGAGGAATGCAAAGAGGAAGGGGGCTCTCTCTCTCTCTCTCTCTCTGTCTCTCGCCCTCGAGTTGTTCTCGGTGGGGTCGCGAGCACGTGTCGGATGGGCTTTGCACCAACTCCTGCGCCACCATGGGCAGGTTGCCTCCATTCACAGCTTCGGTGCTTTTTGCATAGCTTTGTATTGCAGCAGATATGTTGCAGCTCGGGCACTGAAGGGTGAGTCCAGCACCAGTGCGCTGATCCCGGGGTCCTCTGCTGCCCGAAGGATGGCAGTCACCGCACCCATGGACCTGGAGATGTCAAGAGATGTCTTCGGCGTGTTCAAACTGTTCATGCCACTTCCTTCACCTCCTTCACTTCGTTCGGGCCTTCCCCACACGCCCAGTAGCCGTGACCCTGCACTGCGCAAGTGCTGGATCAAGACCTGCAGAGATGACAGCAGATGGCAGCACAGCCGCAGAGGGTTGGGCCGTAGGCACGTTTTTGCCCGTATTGGGTTGCCGGTAGCCGCGCGTCCAGGAGTCGACGGTGCATCAGGATCAGACGAGCAGAGGAGACGGACACCAAATTTACCGCAGCCCCACCCCACCCCTGCTGCACCCTTCCCACCCCCCCCCACTGTCAACCCACCCCCTCCTCGAATTTCTTGGCCAACTTCTTTTCTTGTAGTACCACTCACAGAATTTGGGGTGCCTCGCGAAGCGTTCTCAAAGGAGGCGTATATTAGTACCCGAGCCCATGGTACCTGCAGGTCGAACTGCTCGAAGCATCCAAGAGAGATGAACTCCCCCTCGCTCTGGCCGGACCTGCTGTCGTCATGGCATCAGGCATGCAAAGTTGTGGCAGGATAGGGAGTACAGCAGGGACCCGGAAAGATCCATGCAGCAAAGCCGGAAATTCTTCGCAAGGACGACCTGTACAGGCCGAACCGACAAAGATCTTGCAAGGAAGATGCTGGGCTGGTGGGGCCTGCAGAACGTCCAGCGCCTCTGCCCGGGAGGAGCAATTGCCATGCAGGTAGATCACGCACCTCTCTCATCGCAACTCGCTAAATTTCAGACTGTTGCGACTGCTTTCAGGGAACGGGAAGAGCCCCCCCTCTGTGTGCCGCAAAATACGAGGACGGCTGTTGATCATCCTACTGCCCCCCCCCCCCCCGCTGCAACCAAAAAAAACAACATTCAGCGCCAGTGTATCCTTTTGGGGGCCTCCTAGCCCTATAGACTCCAGTGAACTTTTCAAGCCTTCCGCAGCCTTCCCGAGCCCCGAGCGGCGTCGAGGACATGGGCTTCTTGGGATAGGAACCTGAGAAGACGGTTCGATCCGAAAGGCCGACTTGCCACAACTTCTAATCTGAAAGCTGAGGATGGCACCAAAGAGGCTGCAGGCCAGCCGCATGCCCCGGGCATTTCTCAAGTGGAAATCCTGTGCGCTGCACTGCGCTGGGCTGCCATCAAATGCGAAGACTGTTCAGCATGTTCTGACGGTTCTTGCATGTTGTTGCCGCACGTTGATGCGAGCAGAGACATGCTCCTCACGGCAGTAGATCTGCGATTGGATGCGGAACTTGCTGGGCCCCAGATCTGAGAGGAGGTACTCAGACCTCTGAGCTTACAATTTCTGGCAGATGCGAAATTGTAGCAGAAATGCAAGAATTGCTTTCAGTTTGTGGAAGCAAAGAACAGGTGCCTTGGTGGTCGAATGAACAACTTCCAGAGGAGGTCATAGGATTCAGAAAGGAAAGTTGACCAGGAGACTTTGTCCATTCTCCAGTGAGGAGGATGCCTCGGGCTGATGTTCCCAATACACCCCATCAGGACACATGGGCGTCCTAAGTCCATGGCTCTCATGGTACTTGGATTCTGCAGAGCCCTCGATCACGCTGATGACATCTGATGGCGGATATGGCTCTCAAGAGACGAGCCAGGCTGGGTCACTCGTGTCACTTGTGTCGCTCGCTAGATGAGGTTTTGAGCGGCACAGACTCAACGTCACCGCGTCCTGGAAGCAAGTAAGCAAGTAAGCAGAGAGCATGCTTCTACCTAGCCTGTACGATTATTCTTGATTGTTCTTCGAAGGTTATGGATGCACTGAGCAACTCTGGGGCTGCAAGGGGCAACAATTCCGCATTGCTTTCTCAGGAGCAGCCCACTGCTGTGAAATCAAGAACGCAGGACGCAAGATGCAGACAACGTCTCAACAGACGCCTTGTTATATCACGCGAGCACCTCGAAGGGTATGCCACAAGCAATTGCTTCTGAGAAGCAAGGAGGCGTAGGTAAGGACAGGCCAAGCTTTGATTCTGGACATTCTGGACACTCTTTCTCCTGCTCTCACATTTCTCCGGAGCCTCACGAGCCCCTGAAAGCTTGACCCATCCCTACCGGCAAAATATTTAATATGGTACGCAAAGCTGGACGGCGATGAGCTGGCAGGACTACCTTCCCATGAGGGAGTGAAGCATTGCGCAAGCAATGTGCAGCAGACCAGAACTGAAAATTGTGAATGAAAACTGAGACGGCCGGTCGACAAGAGAGAGTTAGAGTGTAACGGTCTATCGCTTACTTGCTCAGGAACTGCCAGGTGGGGATCACGGAGTCCGGGTTCAGGGACACGGAGTCGATGCCCTGGTCCATGAGCCACTTGGCAAGGTCGGGGTGGTCCGAGGGGCCCTGGCCACAGATGCCGACGTACTTGCCCTTGGCCTTGGCCGCCTTGATCAAGGTCTCCAGGCCTTTCATGACCGCTGGATTCCTCTCATCGAAGTACTGTGCAACCAGGCCTGAATCACGGTCAAGGCCCAGCGTCAGCTGCGTGAGGTCGTTGCTTCCGATGGAGAACCCATCGAAGTACTCCAGGAACTCCTCGGCCAGGAAGACGTTGCTGGGCAGTTCGGCCATCATGTTCACCTTCAGCCCATCCTCTCCTCGCTTCAGGCCATTCTTCTCGAGGACCTCGTTGACATCCTTGGCCATGTCCAGGGTGCGCACGAACGGAATCATGATCTCCACGTTCTTCAGGCCCATCTCGCCACGCACGATCTTCACGGCCTCCAGCTCCATGGCGAAGCACTCCTCGAAGAAAGGGTCAGTGTAGCGGCCGCAGCCGCGGAAGCCAATCATGGGGTTCTCCTCATCCGGCTCATACTGCTCACCACCAATCAAGCTCTTGTACTCGTTGGACTTGAAATCGGACAGGCGCACAATGATGCGCTTGGGGTACACGGAGGCGGCCAGGGTAGCCACACCCTCGGCAATCTTGTTGATGTAGAACTCCTTGGGGCTGGCGTAGCCCCTCATGCGGTCATCCACCAACGCTTTCGTCTCGGCGTCCAGGGTGTCATAGTTTAGGAGGGCCTTCGGGTGCACCCCGATGGCATTGTTGATGACGAACTCGAGGCGGGCCAGGCCGATGCCTTCGTTGGGGAGCTGGCCGAAGCTAAAGGCCGTCTCCGGATTGCCAACATTCATCATGATCTTCAAGCCAACCTCGGGAAGTTCACCCAAGTCCTGCACATTCCTCTCGAACTTCAGCTCGCCCTTGTAGATGAACCCAGTGTCGCCCTCGGCACAAGAGACGGTGACAGGGTCACCCTTCTTGACCTTCTCCGTGGCATCTCCGCACCCGACAATTGCCGGGATACCGAGCTCACGTGCAATGATGGCTGCGTGGCAGGTGCGGCCACCACGGTTCGTGATGATTGCACCGGCCTGACGACAAGCGAGGGCAATGGCATGCGACAACGTGGGGCCGGGAAAGGGGGGGGGAGGCGAGGGGGCGGGGGGAGGACCCAAGCTGCCAATGCCTTTTCTGCCTTTTCCGTTTGAACCCCTGCCTTCTTCATGATGGGCTCCCAGTCAGGGTCAGTCATGTCTGCCACCAAGACCTCGCCCTGGTTGAACTCAGACATCTGGTCGATGCTGGTCAAGATGTTCACCTTGCCGCTTCCAATTCGCTTGCCGACAGCGCGGCCTTCTGCGACCGTCTCGCCACCCTTCTCCAGCATCTTGTACTCCTCAATGACACCCACCTTCTTCTGGGAGGCAACGGTCTCCGGGCGAGCCTGAACAATGTAAAGCTTGCCGTCATCGCCGTCCCGCGCCCACTCGATGTCCATAGGCCGCCCGTAGTGCTTCTCGATCTTCACGGCCATCTCTGCCAGAGCGTTCACCTCCTCGTCGCTTGCTGACCAGCTTTCCCTCTCCTCGCCGCTGGTGTCAATGGTTTCGGACCCTCCACCCTTCTTGTACACCATCTTCACGAGCTTGGAGCCCATGGTGCGGGAGATGATGGACTTCTTGCCCTCTGCCAGGGTCGGCTTGAAGACATACCACTCGTCTGGGTTCACGGTGCCGCCGACAACAGTCTCGCCCAATCCGTACGCGGAGGTCACAAAGACAACGTCCTTGAAGCCGCTCTCCGTGTCCAAGGAGAACATCACCCCCGCGGAGCCTGTCTCGCTGCGCACCATCTTTTGGCAGGTCGCGCAGAGCTGCACCTTCTCGTGCTCAAAGCCGCGGTCATGGCGGTACGAGATTGCTCGGTCCGTGAACAGGGATGCGAACACCAGGTGCACCTTCTCCTTCATGTCGGCGTAGCCCATGACGTTCAGGTAAGTCTCCTGCTGGCCAGCAAAGGAGGCGTCGGGCAAGTCCTCGGCCGTGGCAGAGGAGCGCACCGCAAAGGTGAACTTCTCATCTCCCCCGCTCACGCGCTCCCACTCCGACTTCAGCTCCTCCTCGAAGTTGGGCTGGAAGGGTGTGTCCATGATTTTGTCACGGATCTCCTTGCCCACCTTCATCAGCTTGTCCACGTCCTCGTAGATGGACTCGTCCGAGAGCTTGTCGTTGATGAACTCATTGATGCCGCCCTTGTCCAGGAACTCCTTGTAGGCGAAGGACGTAGTGCTGAAGCCTCCCGGCACCGGAACGCCCACGTCCGAAAGCTGCGAGATCATCTCACCTAGGGATGCACTCTTTCCACCGACCTTGTCCACGTCGGTGTTGCGCAGCTCTTCCAGAGGAATGCATCCCCGCGTGTCCTCCTCACCACCTCTTGCCTGCACCGAGACCACCCGATGCTGCTTGGGTGCCTTGGCACTGCGGTGCTGGCCGAGGCCGGCAACAGCAGCAAGGCCCACCATGCTGGCCACGCCAGCGACGGTGCTGAAGCTGCTGGACGACACGCTGCGAGACTCCCTCAGCGTGGCATCACCGAGGCTCTGGCGGACAGCCTGCGGTGCTTGTGCCGCCTGCGGGGTCACAAAGCTGGTGCCGGCAAGCGCGCAGGCACCCGCCCCAAGGGCAGCTGCCGCTGCGCGGCGGGAACTGGACATCTTGCTATGCACGGCCATGGCTCGGAGTTCTGGCGGCAGTGAGGCAGGCCCGGAGCAACGCGGCTGACAGACTACCCGGTCATATCTGCATACTTTTCCAAGCTCGACGGGAGCATGTCAGCCTGTCGATACAGATGGGGAGCAATAAGTTTTTTTGCGGCATGTCATTGACTGCTCACCTGTGTTAATGCCCGTGAGCAGTTCAAACGAAAGCTCACCCGGGCAAGTATCAGTTTTGGCACTTTGTGCCATGCACGCATCGACCAGAGAATTTCTTGGTGCTCGGAGTGGGTACACTCAACCAAGGCAAAATGTCCAGGGTCAGAGGGTGGCCGTGAAATCCCCACACCCAGAAGAAAATTGCTACTGCGTCACAAATCACTCTTACTTGCTCAGGAACTGCCAGGTGGGGATCACGGAGTCCGGGTTCAGGGACACGGAGTCGATGCCCTGGTCCATGAGCCACTTGGCAAGGTCGGGGTGGTCCGAGGGGCCCTGGCCACAGATGCCGACGTACTTGCCCTTGGCCTTGGCCGCCTTGATCAAGGTCTCCAGGCCTTTCATGACCGCTGGATTCCTCTCATCGAAGTACTGTGCAACCAGGCCTGAATCACGGTCAAGGCCCAGCGTCAGCTGCGTGAGGTCGTTGCTTCCGATGGAGAACCCATCGAAGTACTCCAGGAACTCCTCGGCCAGGAAGACGTTGCTGGGCAGTTCGGCCATCATGTTCACCTTCAGCCCATCCTCTCCTCGCTTCAGGCCATTCTTCTCGAGGACCTCGTTGACATCCTTGGCCATGTCCAGGGTGCGCACGAACGGAATCATGATCTCCACGTTCTTCAGGCCCATCTCGCCACGCACGATCTTCACGGCCTCCAGCTCCATGGCGAAGCACTCCTCGAAGAAAGGGTCAGTGTAGCGGCCGCAGCCGCGGAAGCCAATCATGGGGTTCTCCTCATCCGGCTCATACTGCTCACCACCAATCAAGCTCTTGTACTCGTTGGACTTGAAATCGGACAGGCGCACAATGATGCGCTTGGGGTACACGGAGGCGGCCAGGGTAGCCACACCCTCGGCAATCTTGTTGATGTAGAACTCCTTGGGGCTGGCGTAGCCCCTCATGCGGTCATCCACCAACGCTTTCGTCTCGGCGTCCAGGGTGTCATAGTTTAGGAGGGCCTTCGGGTGCACCCCGATGGCATTGTTGATGACGAACTCGAGGCGGGCCAGGCCGATGCCTTCGTTGGGGAGCTGGCCGAAGCTAAAGGCCGTCTCCGGATTGCCAACATTCATCATGATCTTCAAGCCAACCTCGGGAAGTTCACCCAAGTCCTGCACATTCCTCTCGAACTTCAGCTCGCCCTTGTAGATGAACCCAGTGTCGCCCTCGGCACAAGAGACGGTGACAGGGTCACCCTTCTTGACCTTCTCCGTGGCATCTCCGCACCCGACAATTGCCGGGATACCGAGCTCACGTGCAATGATGGCTGCGTGGCAGGTGCGGCCACCACGGTTCGTGATGATTGCACCGGCCTGACGACAAGCGAGGGCAATGGCATGCGACAACGTGGGGCCGGGAAAGGGGGGGGGAGGCGGGCGGGGGGAGGACCCAAGCTGCCAATGCCTTTTCTGCCTTTTCCGTTTGAACCCCTGCCTTCTTCATGATGGGCTCCCAGTCAGGGTCAGTCATGTCTGCCACCAAGACCTCGCCCTGGTTGAACTCAGACATCTGGTCGATGCTGGTCAAGATGTTCACCTTGCCGCTTCCAATTCGCTTGCCGACAGCGCGGCCTTCTGCGACCGTCTCGCCACCCTTCTCCAGCATCTTGTACTCCTCAATGACACCCACCTTCTTCTGGGAGGCAACGGTCTCCGGGCGAGCCTGAACAATGTAAAGCTTGCCGTCATCGCCGTCCCGCGCCCACTCGATGTCCATAGGCCGCCCGTAGTGCTTCTCGATCTTCACGGCCATCTCTGCCAGAGCGTTCACCTCCTCGTCGCTTGCTGACCAGCTTTCCCTCTCCTCGCCGCTGGTGTCAATGGTTTCGGACCCTCCACCCTTCTTGTACACCATCTTCACGAGCTTGGAGCCCATGGTGCGGGAGATGATGGACTTCTTGCCCTCTGCCAGGGTCGGCTTGAAGACATACCACTCGTCTGGGTTCACGGTGCCGCCGACAACAGTCTCGCCCAATCCGTACGCGGAGGTCACAAAGACAACGTCCTTGAAGCCGCTCTCCGTGTCCAAGGAGAACATCACCCCCGCGGAGCCTGTCTCGCTGCGCACCATCTTTTGGCAGGTCGCGCAGAGCTGCACCTTCTCGTGCTCAAAGCCGCGGTCATGGCGGTACGAGATTGCTCGGTCCGTGAACAGGGATGCGAACACCAGGTGCACCTTCTCCTTCATGTCGGCATAGCCCATGACGTTCAGGTAAGTCTCCTGCTGGCCAGCAAAGGAGGCGTCGGGCAAGTCCTCGGCCGTGGCAGAGGAGCGCACCGCAAAGGTGAACTTCTCATCTCCCCCGCTCACGCGCTCCCACTCCGACTTCAGCTCCTCCTCGAAGTTGGGCTGGAAGGGTGTGTCCATGATTTTGTCACGGATCTCCTTGCCCACCTTCATCAGCTTGTCCACGTCCTCGTAGATGGACTCATCCGAGAGCTTGTCGTTGATGAACTCATTGATGCCGCCCTTGTCCAGGAACTCCTTGTAGGCGAAGGACGTAGTGCTGAAGCCTCCCGGCACCGGAACGCCCACGTCCGAAAGCTGCGAGATCATCTCACCTAGGGATGCACTCTTTCCACCGACCTTGTCCACGTCGGTGTTGCGCAGCTCTTCCAGAGGAATGCATCCCCGCGTGTCCTCCTCACCACCTCTTGCCTGCACCGAGACCACCCGATGCTGCTTGGGTGCCTTGGCACTGCGGTGCTGGCCGAGGCCGGCAACAGCAGCAAGGCCCACCATGCTGGCCACGCCAGCGACGGTGCTGAAGCTGCTGGACGACACGCTGCGAGACTCCCTCAGCGTGGCATCACCGAGGCTCTGGCGGACAGCCTGCGGTGCTTGTGCCGCCTGCGGGGTCACAAAGCTGGTGCCGGCAAGCGCGCAGGCACCCGCCCCAAGGGCAGCTGCCGCTGCGCGGCGGGAACTGGACATCTTGCTATGCACGGCCATGGCTCGGAGTTCTGGCGGCAGTGAGGCAGGCCCGGAGCAACGCGGCTGACAGACCATAGATACAGACCGGCAGCTTGAACGCTTAGCCTTTATGACTCTATTTGACCCTGTGCGATTTCACTATGTAAGAGCTAACTTCTTGGGGGATGCCCGCCACTTTTACCCCGGTGCATGCACCGTGCCGACAATCGCGGTTTGATTGCCGTCCAGGCATACTGTGCTGGCGCTGGCGCTGGCGCTGGCGGTGGGGGTGGGGGTGGCGGTGGGTGCGGTGGGGGCGGTGGGGGCGGTGGGGGTGGTGGTGGGTGTGGTGGGTGGTCGAGGGTGTGGTGGTGGGTGGTGGTGGGTGGTGGTGGGTGTGGTGGTGGGTGTGGGTGGTGGGTGTGGTGGTGGGTGTGGTGGTGGGTGGTAGTGGTGGGTGTGGTGGTGGGTGTGGTGGTGGGTGGTGGCGGGTGGTGGGTAGTGGCGGGTGGTGATGGGTGGTGGGTGGTGGCGGGTGTTGTGGTGGGTTGTGAGGATGCTTGGGATCGCGGTTATGTATGTAAGGAAACCATTTATTTCACTGATCCTTACAGAGCCACACTTGCATTTTCCATGGTGAGCATTGCATTGGGAGGAAAGTGGGGCGGAGCGCGGTGAGGTTATGCTGCAGGTGTTGTGACAGTGTGATGGGTATGTGGCTGGGTGTGTGGAGGTGTGGAGAGGGCTATATGGCTATATTCATGTCTGAGTAATATAGAACAATCATAATTGTATTTCCGACTTCCAAACCATTCCAAACTTCTCGTAGCAGGTACCTACACATCCACAACTCTGGAATGTTGCGATGTAGCCCTCCCGCCCCAGCACCCCCTGCACCCCCCGCACCCCCAGCGCCCCAGCGCCCCAGCACCGCGCCCCCCAGCGTCCCAGCGTCTCAGCATCCCAGCCTCCCAGTGTCCCAGCGTCAGCGTCTCAACGTTCCGGTGCCTCCATGTCGAAGCATCTCAACGTCCCAGCGTCTCAGCGTCCGGGTCTTGCTGTCCCAGCATCCCGGCGTGCCAAAGTCTCAGCGCCGCAGCATCCTAACGCCTCAGCCACTAAGCATCCCGGCGTGGCACCTCATCCTGGCGCCTCAGCACTTCAGCGTCACGGCGTCTCCGCGTCGGAGCATCTCAGCGTCCCGGCATCCCGATCTCAAACGTCCAGCACCCCGCGCGTGGGTTTCATCGAAGCATGCTGCAAGGATTTGGCGTCTGTTTTTGCTTGCTCTTCATAAAACGTAGTAAGCGGAGCCTTGTCCATGGCCCCAAGTGTCCAACACACGGGGAGAAGGGGGGGGGCGCCCCTCCCTGCGACCATCAACTCGTGGATTTTCATACCCCTTAAGGCCCGCGGTGGTTTTTTGACCCACTTGAACTTGAGATTGGTCGTAGCTTGCGTGATGTGCATCATGTCAGTGATTGCCAGGTTGCCAGGTTCGAACGAATGCTCACCCGGGCATGCATCATCATGTTTTCCTGTGATCGCTGGTGTGCTCACACCTTGACGCGCGGTTTGTTGTCAGCCCTTCAGAGCACTCCATCAAGCGCTCATCCAGGCCGTCAGCCGGTGTATCCATGATAGATAGCAGAAAACATACTCGAAGAGCGCACACTTGACACGTGCAAAACGAGCAAAATGTGTGCAATACATTAGCGACGTACATGGGCGGCCGTGAAATCCCCACACCCAGAAGAAAATTGCTACTGAGTCACAAATCACTCTTACTTGCTCAGGAACTGCCAGGTGGGGATCACGGAGTCCGGGTTCAGGGACACGGAGTCGATGCCCTGGTCCATGAGCCACTTGGCAAGGTCGGGGTGGTCCGAGGGGCCCTGGCCACAGATGCCGACGTACTTGCCCTTGGCCTTGGCCGCCTTGATCAAGGTCTCCAGGCCTTTCATGACCGCTGGATTCCTCTCATCGAAGTACTGTGCAACCAGGCCTGAATCACGGTCAAGGCCCAGCGTCAGCTGCGTGAGGTCGTTGCTTCCGATGGAGAACCCATCGAAGTACTCCAGGAACTCCTCGGCCAGGAAGACGTTGCTGGGCAGTTCGGCCATCATGTTCACCTTCAGCCCATCCTCTCCTCGCTTCAGGCCATTCTTCTCGAGGACCTCGTTGACATCCTTGGCCATGTCCAGGGTGCGCACGAACGGAATCATGATCTCCACGTTCTTCAGGCCCATCTCGCCACGCACGATCTTCACGGCCTCCAGCTCCATGGCGAAGCACTCCTCGAAGAAAGGGTCAGTGTAGCGGCCGCAGCCGCGGAAGCCAATCATGGGGTTCTCCTCATCCGGCTCATACTGCTCACCACCAATCAAGCTCTTGTACTCGTTGGACTTGAAATCGGACAGGCGCACAATGATGCGCTTGGGGTACACGGAGGCGGCCAGGGTAGCCACACCCTCGGCAATCTTGTTGATGTAGAACTCCTTGGGGCTGGCGTAGCCCCTCATGCGGTCATCCACCAACGCTTTCGTCTCGGCGTCCAGGGTGTCATAGTTTAGGAGGGCCTTCGGGTGCACCCCGATGGCATTGTTGATGACGAACTCGAGGCGGGCCAGGCCGATGCCTTCGTTGGGGAGCTGGCCGAAGCTAAAGGCCGTCTCCGGATTGCCAACATTCATCATGATCTTCAAGCCAACCTCGGGAAGTTCACCCAAGTCCTGCACATTCCTCTCGAACTTCAGCTCGCCCTTGTAGATGAACCCAGTGTCGCCCTCGGCACAAGAGACGGTGACAGGGTCACCCTTCTTGACCTTCTCCGTGGCATCTCCGCACCCGACAATTGCCGGGATGCCGAGCTCACGTGCAATGATGGCTGCGTGGCAGGTGCGGCCACCACGGTTCGTGATGATTGCACCGGCCTGACGACAAGCGAGGGCAATGGCATGCGACAACGTGGGGCCGGGAAAGGGGGGGGGAGGCGAGGGGGCGGGGGGAGGACCCAAGCTGCCAATGCCTTTTTTGCCTTTTCCGTTCGAACCCCTGCCTTCTTCATGATGGGCTCCCAGTCAGGGTCAGTCATGTCTGCCACCAAGACCTCGCCCTGGTTGAACTCAGACATCTGGTCGATGCTGGTCAAGATGTTCACCTTGCCACTTCCAATTCGCTTGCCGACAGCGCGGCCTTCTGCGACCGTCTCGCCACCCTTCTCCAGCATCTTGTACTCCTCAATGACACCCACCTTCTTCTGGGAGGCAACGGTCTCTGGGCGAGCCTGAACAATGTAAAGCTTGCCGTCATCGCCGTCCCGCGCCCACTCGATGTCCATAGGCCGCCCGTAGTGCTTCTCGATCTTCACGGCCATCTCTGCCAGAGCGTTCACCTCCTCGTCGCTTGCTGACCAGCTTTCCCTCTCCTCGCCGCTGGTGTCAATGGTTTCGGACCCTCCACCCTTCTTGTACACCATCTTCACGAGCTTGGAGCCCATGGTGCGGGAGATGATGGACTTCTTGCCCTCTGCCAGGGTCGGCTTGAAGACATACCACTCGTCTGGGTTCACGGTGCCGCCGACAACAGTCTCGCCCAATCCGTACGCGGAGGTCACAAAGACAACGTCCTTGAAGCCGCTCTCCGTGTCCAAGGAGAACATCACCCCCGCGGAGCCTGTCTCGCTGCGCACCATCTTTTGGCAGGTCGCGCAGAGCTGCACCTTCTCGTGCTCAAAGCCGCGGTCATGGCGGTACGAGATTGCTCGGTCCGTGAACAGGGATGCGAACACCAGGTGCACCTTCTCCTTCATGTCGGCATAGCCCATGACGTTCAGGTAAGTCTCCTGCTGGCCAGCAAAGGAGGCGTCGGGCAAGTCCTCGGCCGTGGCAGAGGAGCGCACCGCAAAGGTGAACTTCTCATCTCCCCCGCTCACGCGCTCCCACTCCGACTTCAGCTCCTCCTCGAAGTTGGGCTGGAAGGGTGTGTCCATGATTTTGTCACGGATCTCCTTGCCCACCTTCATCAGCTTGTCCACGTCCTCGTAGATGGACTCATCCGAGAGCTTGTCGTTGATGAACTCATTGATGCCGCCCTTGTCCAGGAACTCCTTGTAGGCGAAGGACGTAGTGCTGAAGCCTCCCGGCACCGGAACGCCCACGTCCGAAAGCTGCGAGATCATCTCACCTAGGGATGCACTCTTTCCACCGACCTTGTCCACGTCGGTGTTGCGCAGCTCTTCCAGAGGAATGCATCCCCGCGTGTCCTCCTCACCACCTCTTGCCTGCGCCGAGACCACCCGATGCTGCTTGGGTGCCTTGGCACTGCGGTGCTGGCCGAGGCCGGCAACAGCAGCAAGGCCCACCATGCTGGCCACGCCAGCGACGGTGCTGAAGCTGCTGGACGACACGCTGCGAGACTCCCTCAGCGTGGCATCACCGAGGCTCTGGCGGACAGCCTGCGGTGCTTGTGCCGCCTGCGGGGTCACAAAGCTGGTGCCGGCAAGCGCGCAGGCACCTGCCCCAAGGGCAGCTGCCGCTGCGCGGCGGGAACTGGACATCTTGCTATGCACGGCCATGGCTCGGAGGCCTGGAGTGGGCTGGCAGTGAGGCAGGCCCGGAGAATTGAAACTGCAAATGCTTGCCAAATCGTGAGAACCTGGGAAGTGGACACTCAGCCGGTGCCTAGATGCAAATTTTTCCAAGGCACCCCGGCTTTTGTTTTTTTGCGACTCGGAGCGCAGAAAATTGCGCTGCAGCGAAGTGCATGAGTATCACTACAGCTTGTAGGCAATTGCACAAGCAGGACACAACACCCGGTTTATCCTGTTTTCCTGTGATCGCTGGTGTGCTCACACCTTGACGCGCGGTTTGTTGTCAGCCCTTCAGAGCACTCCATCAAGCGCTCATCCAGGCCGTCAGCCGGTGTATCCATGATAGATAGCAGAAAACATACTCGAAGAGCGCACACTTGACACGTGCAAAACGAGCAAAATGTGTGCCATACATTAGCGACGTACATGGGCGGCCGTGAAATCCCCACACCCAGAAGAAAATTGCTACTGCGTCACAAATCACTCTTACTTGCTCAGGAACTGCCAGGTGGGGATCACGGAGTCCGGGTTCAGGGACACGGAGTCGATGCCCTGGTCCATGAGCCACTTGGCAAGGTCGGGGTGGTCCGAGGGGCCCTGGCCACAGATGCCGACGTACTTGCCCTTGGCCTTGGCCGCCTTGATCAAGGTCTCCAGGCCTTTCATGACCGCTGGATTCCTCTCATCGAAGTACTGTGCAACCAGGCCTGAATCACGGTCAAGGCCCAGCGTCAGCTGCGTGAGGTCGTTGCTTCCGATGGAGAACCCATCGAAGTACTCCAGGAACTCCTCGGCCAGGAAGACGTTGCTGGGCAGTTCGGCCATCATGTTCACCTTCAGCCCATCCTCTCCTCGCTTCAGGCCATTCTTCTCGAGGACCTCGTTGACATCCTTGGCCATGTCCAGGGTGCGCACGAACGGAATCATGATCTCCACGTTCTTCAGGCCCATCTCGCCACGCACGATCTTCACGGCCTCCAGCTCCATAGCGAAGCACTCCTCGAAGAAAGGGTCAGTGTATCGGCCGCAGCCGCGGAAGCCAATCATGGGGTTCTCCTCATCCGGCTCATACTGCTCACCACCAATCAAGCTCTTGTACTCGTTGGACTTGAAATCGGACAGGCGCACAATGATGCGCTTGGGGTACACGGAGGCGGCCAGGGTAGCCACACCCTCGGCAATCTTGTTGATGTAGAACTCCTTGGGGCTGGCGTAGCCCCTCATGCGGTCATCCACCAACGCTTTCGTCTCGGCGTCCAGGGTGTCATAGTTTAGGAGGGCCTTCGGGTGCACCCCGATGGCATTGTTGATGACGAACTCGAGGCGGGCCAGGCCGATGCCTTCGTTGGGGAGCTGGCCGAAGCTAAAGGCCGTCTCCGGATTGCCAACATTCATCATGATCTTCAAGCCAACCTCGGGAAGTTCACCCAAGTCCTGCACATTCCTCTCGAACTTCAGCTCGCCCTTGTAGATGAACCCAGTGTCGCCCTCGGCACAAGAGACGGTGACAGGGTCACCCTTCTTGACCTTCTCCGTGGCATCTCCGCACCCGACAATTGCCGGGATGCCGAGCTCACGTGCAATGATGGCTGCGTGGCAGGTGCGGCCACCACGGTTCGTGATGATTGCACCGGCCTGACGACAAGCGAGGGCAATGGCATGCGACAACGTGGGGCCGGGAAAGGGGGGGGGAGGCGGGCGGGGGGAGGACCCAAGCTGCCAATGCCTTTTCTGCCTTTTCCGTTTGAACCCCTGCCTTCTTCATGATGGGCTCCCAGTCAGGGTCAGTCATGTCTGCCACCAAGACCTCGCCCTGGTTGAACTCAGACATCTGGTCGATGCTGGTCAAGATGTTCACCTTGCCACTTCCAATTCGCTTGCCGACAGCGCGGCCTTCTGCGACCGTCTCGCCACCCTTCTCCAGCATCTTGTACTCCTCAATGACACCCACCTTCTTCTGGGAGGCAACGGTCTCTGGGCGAGCCTGAACAATGTAAAGCTTGCCGTCATCGCCGTCCCGCGCCCACTCGATGTCCATAGGCCGCCCGTAGTGCTTCTCGATCTTCACGGCCATCTCTGCCAGAGCGTTCACCTCCTCGTCGCTTGCTGACCAGCTTTCCCTCTCCTCGCCGCTGGTGTCAATGGTTTCGGACCCTCCACCCTTCTTGTACACCATCTTCACGAGCTTGGATCCCATGGTGCGGGAGATGATGGACTTCTTGCCCTCTGCCAGGGTCGGCTTGAAGACATACCACTCGTCTGGGTTCACGGTGCCGCCGACAACAGTCTCGCCCAATCCGTACGCGGAGGTCACAAAGACAACGTCCTTGAAGCCGCTCTCCGTGTCCAAGGAGAACATCACCCCCGCGGAGCCTGTCTCGCTGCGCACCATCTTTTGGCAGGTCGCGCAGAGCTGCACCTTCTCGTGCTCAAAGCCGCGGTCATGGCGGTACGAGATTGCTCGGTCCGTGAACAGGGATGCGAACACCAGGTGCACCTTCTCCTTCATGTCGGCATAGCCCATGACGTTCAGGTAAGTCTCCTGCTGGCCAGCAAAGGAGGCGTCGGGCAAGTCCTCGGCCGTGGCAGAGGAGCGCACCGCAAAGGTGAACTTCTCATCTCCCCCGCTCACGCGCTCCCACTCCGACTTCAGCTCCTCCTCGAAGTTGGGCTGGAAGGGTGTGTCCATGATTTTGTCACGGATCTCCTTGCCCACCTTCATCAGCTTGTCCACGTCCTCGTAGATGGACTCATCCGAGAGCTTGTCGTTGATGAACTCATTGATGCCGCCCTTGTCCAGGAACTCCTTGTAGGCGAAGGACGTAGTGCTGAAGCCTCCCGGCACCGGAACGCCCACGTCCGAAAGCTGCGAGATCATCTCACCTAGGGATGCACTCTTTCCACCGACCTTGTCCACGTCGGTGTTGCGCAGCTCTTCCAGAGGAATGCATCCCCGCGTGTCCTCCTCACCACCTCTTGCCTGCGCCGAGACCACCCGATGCTGCTTGGGTGCCTTGGCACTGCGGTGCTGGCCGAGGCCGGCAACAGCAGCAAGGCCCACCATGCTGGCCACGCCAGCGACGGTGCTGAAGCTGCTGGACGACACGCTGCGAGACTCCCTCAGCGTGGCATCACCGAGGCTCTGGCGGACAGCCTGCGGTGCTTGTGCCGCCTGCGGGGTCACAAAGCTGGTGCCGGCAAGCGCGCAGGCACCTGCCCCAAGGGCAGCTGCCGCTGCGCGGCGGGAACTGGACATCTTGCTATGCACGGCCATGGCTCGGAGGCCTGGAGTGGGCTGGCAGTGAGGCAGACCCGGAGAATTGAAACTGCAAATGCTTGCCAAATCGTGAGAACCTGGGAAGTGGACACTCAGCCGGTGCCTAGATGCAAATTTTTCCAAGGCACCCCGGCTTTTGTTTTTTTGCGACTCGGAGCGCAGAAAATTGCTGGCCCACACTCAGGCTTGGTCGCTGCGACCCATCCTTTGCAAGGAGCTGGCAAAGGCGCTAGCTTCTTGCAGCTGCAGCGGCTGGCAGCCCCCTGAGGTCTCTTCCGGTTGGGCCCGGCCAACTGCCGCACCTTTTGAAATGCAGGTCACAGTCAACACAGAGTCCATGCCGTGCCATGGCTTCAGGGCTACCAGGCTCGGAGGCCCGTGCCACAGGCGTCCATCTTCGCATGAAGTCCTCCTCATTCGTTCGCATCAACGTGCCCTGGCCACCCCAGATCACCTCTGCAGCAAAATGAAGATGGATGGGAGATTGCGCAGAGATGGCGATCCTTCCATAGTTCACAAGGCTCAGCACACGCGCGCTTCTCCTTTTCCCTTGCGAGCCACTAGCTCAGCACTAGCTCAGCTGGAAGCTTTGCAGGATAGCCTGCAGGCTCCCGAGATCTGCCCCGAACGCTTCGGCCGAGCATGCTGAGATATGCTGGGCTACACCACATGCTGAGGTGCCTCCATCGGCTGCCGCAAATCTGCGGTCAACTCCTTAGCGAGGGCGTATCGCGGCATATGAGGGCAGATGTCTAGAGACATGTCCTGGAACAGACGAACAGCAGTTATCATCTGGACACAGAGTTTGAGTCGAGGGCTTCGGGCATGGTAATCTGCATGATCACGCTCTTTCCCCCCGAGCTCTTCCTCAGCACGCGCCACCAGCCTCAGAGATTCAGCAGCCCAAGTCACCGCCCAAGGGCATTGCGGAAAGGTCTCCCAGTCGCCCCACATGTTGTCACGTTCACGCGTCTTCTCTTCTCCTACAATTCTGCGCCTGAGTCGCACTCCAAGTCTAAGTCCAATTCTAATTCCAGCTCAAACTTCAGGTCTAATCCCAATCTCTTCCCTTCTGCTATCTTGTCTGAAGCTTGGCACCCACGCAGTGCTTCAAGACCTCCGAATCATCTTCCTCTAGGCGAGCCAAGCTGCATGCCCACTTGCAAGGACCCTCCACACCCCTGCCTGCGTCTCTTTAACCTCGATGTCACATCAGCGCCGCGTCACAGAACTCAGCTGGAAGGCCCTTCATCGGCTGGGCCACTGGCTAAGGCTTCCATCAAGTCCTGTGGAAGGGCATCAGGAAACTTCCGGAACATCTTGGGGCATCCGCGTGTAACAGTTGTGGATCACTATGATGACAAAGAGCAGCGAGTCTGCGTCCCTCCACAGCTGGAGGTGAAATGGTTTGAAAACCCGGGAAACCTCGCAGCTCGCAGACATTCAAACCACAGCGACCGGTGTCCTCCTCCTCGCCCAGTGAGTACTTCAATACCTCGCTACAGCACTTCTCTCACGAAGATGTCAGAGGGAAACGAACACCAGCAAGCCTGCTTTCCATCACAGCCCTGTCAAGACCACCGCCATGCCCAGCATGCAAGACCAGCCTTTTGGCGGCTTCTTGGAACCGTAAGGCGCCGTCGCTTGACGAAGTCCTGCTCATGGCGAGATGCTTTGAACTTTGGACATCCTTTTTACTGCGAGCACTCTTCCTGCGGAGCCTCTCCAGAGGTTATCCTGACTCCTGGGATGAAAAGCGGAGCTTCTCAAAAATCAATCTCACACACACACACACACACATACATATACAGCAATAGACAAAGTAACACGTGGAGAAAACCTCACAACCAAACCACGGATGGACTTGTTTTGCTCTGCGAGCTGGGGCCGAGCTTCCCTGCTTGGACGCAAACTCCGCGGCCAAGCCCAGCAGCCTCCACCGCTAGCTTTGAAGCTTGGGCCATGGGGGGGGGGGCTGTTGCAAGAGAGACCCCCCCCTTTTCAAGGATCTGGCCCAGGATCCCTTGCGTTGGCCGCGCGGTTCCGCTCCTGGCTCACATCTCGTGATCAGCCCACCAGCAGACGTGGTCCTGGCCTCGAAGCCGAGAGCGGGAAGGTCGTACGAGTACAACGCAAGACCCTCGAGAACAGCAGATCAAAGGGGGAACAGGGAACCTTCATAAAACTGAACCTTCCCCATGCTTTCTCTCCTTCCTCTCCTTCACCTTTGCACCTTCCCTGCTCCCTTTGCTGGAAATCCGAGCTCCAGTCCGTCTCCGGCCGCGTCACTCGCAGCGGCTCGTCCCCTCGCGGGCCGGCAGGGCTATGCCGGCTATGCAAACAAAGGAATGCACTACCAGGACCAATGATTTAATGTCTTCTGCAAGTGCTACAATGTTACTACAATTCCCTACACTACAATCCAGACCTGCAGCCGGAAGTGGAACCATAGAGGCTGCAAGCACCTGCTGCTTTGCAAATCGTCGCTTTCAAGAAAGAACACATCTGAATACCCACTTCTCTTGACACTTCATGTGGATGTGTGCGGATGCTGAGTGCCTGACAGCCACTGTCCGTCGCGGCAGGCCTCACTTGCTGTCCCAGAAGCCCATGCAAACATAGATCCGCACAGACAGGCCGAGTCCACGTCTTACGAAGCCTTCCGACCGACCAAGCAGCCCCAGCATCACCAGGGATAGTGCCTTCAGACTGCAAAGGTCTGGTGAGGGCCCAACTGCTGCACGTGGCAGCTTGTCTTCTGTTTGTCGGCAAATACCACGAGTGAAACCCCGGCGTCTTTAGAAATGCTTGGATGCATGTCAGTCGTCTCCTGCTTGGTTTGCTTTCAAAGCCCCTCGAACACCTGCCTTCCAGGTTTGAAGGCTCTGCCGGACATCCCTGCTCCGGCTGGTCGCCATGGCAGCGAGTGACTAGTGCAGAGAACCGTGATCGCGTCTTGCAAAGTCGAGCATGGCAAGTTCCGCTACATGCCTTTACACTGTTACTTGGTGCTGTGCAGCGACATGCACGGGGTGACACTCAACCAGTGCCGCTCTCTGCGCTTGCACTGTGTGCCGTATCCAGCCTTCCTGTCTGCGGCATGCCACCGGCATACTGTGTGCCAGTGTACCATCGTGTACCATCATGATACAAGAAATCGAGGGTTCCACAGTTCCACAGCCTGGTCCTGGTAGTCGATGCTTTCTGCATCCTTGATGACTTTGAAGCCAAGGCCTCCGGCTTTCGATCGGAGCTCTCAGTTTGTACTCCTTTTTGCGCTGCACCTTTGTAATAGCGGACAAGGCGTTCATGCTGCTTCTCTTCATCGTAGATGGCAAGCAGGAACGCCTGAACATGAGAAGCACAGTGCAACATGTGCAACATGTGCAACATGTGCAACATGTGCAACGTTCTGAGAACATGTGCAACGTTCTGAGAATCGAAGAACACCCTTGCCTCCTTGCAGAAGAATGGGGATCTCTCCCTGTTCCAACCTGAATCTCCCCAGCATGGATGTCAGGACCACGTCAAGCTCGGGGCCGGCCGTTGGGGCCCTTTGGGGCCCTTTGGGGCCCTTTGGGGCCCTTTGGGGCCCTTGGGGCCGTGGCAGGCGATCGCCATGGAAAGCAGCAAGCCAAACCATCGAGCGACCTCTGGCAGCTTCGGTCTTTTGTGTTTTTTGAAAAGCAGCCACACTATTCTATTTTTAACCATTAAAAATGCACACACTCTTCCAGGCCGCGCGCCTTTGCCACGTCTGCGTACCGCTTCTTCTCCTGAGCGGCGGAGCACTTCTGCTGCGGGGGGGGGGGAAGCACTCCTCTCTGTGTGGGGGCTCTGAAAGCTCACCTCTCTGAAGAAGTGAGCCGGGCCTCCGCCTCCAGCGCCGCCTGGTCCTCCGACTTGGGCTCGGCCCCCGCCCTCCCCGGCGGCTCTCAGAGCTCTCTTCTGAGCTCTCTTCTGAGCTCTCTTCTGAGCTCTCTGAACTCTGATTCTCTGAGATTCTGAGGGGGGTTTCAAAGAGAGAGCAATTAAAGAAAGAGTGAGAGAGTCGGCCAGCGGCGCGCCTGGCGGGCTTTGCCACCCAGTAGCCTGTGAACTTCCGCACCTGACGGCTACAAAGGATGGCGCAAGGGCCAACGCTCTGCGGAGCCAGATGGGCCCATGGGCCTCGATGGTCTCCAGGTGCAGGCTTCCCTGAGGCGTTCCGGGGAAACTTGACTCCGCTTCTGAAAGCAAAGTGCGAGAGCAGCCCGAGAATCTCTGTTGCATCCTCTCCCGCTCTCCCGGGCAGCCAGCCCAGGGCTGTGCCCAACCACTGGTCTTGCCCAGCTGGCGGTCACCACTCCAAAGCTCGATCTGGTACCTCGGCTTCGAGCGCTGTCGCATGCTGTCGCATGCTGTCCCCCAACCAAATCTGACGAAATCAAACTTGGGAGACCCTCAGAACTGTTAGAACTGCGAACCCCGCTCCCGAGCGCCGCGCCAGGGGCCAGCAACGCTCTCGCGGAGCTCCACGTTGAGGCGTCGCGCCGCCCGCTGGAGCTCCGCCGTGGTCAGCACCTCAGAGAGCACTCAAAAGAAAGAGATCCATCCAATATGATCCATTTCTTCAATGCCAGACATGCTGCGAATCTTCCTGTCAGCAAGAACGGTTCGGACGCACCCTTTCTTGCAGTAGCTCTTCGAGCCACAGGCCGCTGCAACAGGCTGCAACCCTATTGCTTTGAGCTCGTGATGTTGCCGAAAACTCCCGAGTGCCACTTCTCTGAAACCAACACGAGTGTCTATGGTTACCCCTTAGGTGTCAATACTCCCTGATCTTGCACTGCTGTACCTGCCCTGGTGCACGATCACATTAGCCAGTCAAGGCTTTCTTGATCGCCTGCCAGACAGCACGAATCAAGGTGCGCCTGTCTGTCCAAGCCACGCAGCATCTGGCTGCATCTGACTATTCCGTCGCCGGCCTGCTCTGCGTCGGAGCAGCCTCTCTCCTGACAACACACACTCACAGAGAGAGAGAGAGAGCGTGGGCAAAGAATAGCAAAGGCTACCTTTGCAGAAGCATCACGAAGTTGTGCCGAGAAGGCCTCGGCCACCTGCAGAGCCGTCTGGTTCTCGAACTTGAAACTGAAGGCGACCACGTGGGCCTGAGACAAATCACAGACTCTCACAGCGGCGCCCTTCGGTGCCCTTCGGTGCCCTTCTCCAGCACTCCGCCTCCACAAAGGCTGGATGCTCCAGTATGGCTGTGCAGACAGTGCCTGCAGCAGGAGGCAAAAGATCACTAGGGAGAGAGGTTCTCACCTTTGCTGTCTCTTGGAGCTATACCCAGATTGGATGCTGCAGCCCAGTGGAGTGCGGTGGCACCCCACTTGTCCTGCAAATGGCAATGGACCACCACACCAAAGCACGGCAAAAGACAGACAACGACAACACATGTTCGGGGCGTTTGGGAGACGAATGCCTTGGAGTTGACTTGCGTGAACTCCGGGTGGTCCAGAACAGCCTTGCAGACGCTGACCATGCCGTTCGACGCGGCCAGGGACAAGATCGTATAGCCGAACTGCAAAGGACATAGAGGACCACGTGCAGCACCGGCTCTCTCGATTGGCCCACCCTGTGCACAGGTGGGAGGCCTGGTCCACTGCGTTGACTTCTGTGAAGTCATCCCGATTCAAGATGCTCAAGCAGATATCCTGGCGCTGAAGCCACTCGACTTGCAGGCCTCGTGGTTTTCATGCTCCCCATGCTCCCCCTGGTCCCCGTGCTCCCCATGGTCCCCGTGGTCCCCATGGTCCCCGTGGTGTGATCCCCGTGGTCCCCGTGGCCCCTGTGGTCCCCATGGTCCCAGGGCACCCAAAGGAGGGCCACTCGCGCACCAGCGTCGCATGGGCCATCATGGGCCACCCTAAACTCCTAAACCCCGCACGCTGGAAAAAAGCAGCACAATCGCTGTGCACATGGCGGGGGCACCCAGCGCGGCGTCTCTGGAAAGAACTACATTTACATGAAGGCACCTCCCAATGATTCTCAATGTGCTGTAGCAACGTGAAGGCCAGACCTCAGGTCTTCGCCCTGGCGACTCTCAAAGCGAAAGCCCTTTCAAAGCCCTTCGCTCACTTCGCCCACTTCGGCCCTCTCTCACAGTTCTCAAGGTTCTCCAACATGCAGGGCTGTCCAAGCGGAGCCCCCCGACTCCTGCTACGAGAAAACACCTGTCGAGTCTGTCAGAGTTTAAGACACTCTGAGAGGGGACAATTGGCCGGGTAATTCTGGGTAATTCTTTTCGTGGTCAAATTCGGAAGGGCAGACGCTTCTTTTGCCAGTGGCACGGACTGGGCCACCCCTGGCTGAGACCACGCCGAACAAGAGTCCAAGGGCACACTTGAGTATCTGATTTCAGACAAACTTTCAAGAAACCCCAATGGGCAAGCGCGACCAAAACATTCACCTGCACCTTCCGCCCCCACAAATGATTTGAGGAATCATGCAACGAGTGCATGTGGCTCTGGCATCTGTGGAAAGGCTGCAGCAAACTCCTCCGGCATCTTCTTCAAGATGCAGATGTGCACCGCAGTTCTCTGCTCGGTATCCTGATGCAACGTGATGCACTGGCGTGCGCCCCATGCTACTCCCGTGTTCCATGTGCCGACTCTAAGACTCTAGGAGGCTGTGTCCGAGCCTTGTCATCCATTCTGTTGAAGTCCTCACCAGAAGCGAGTGGAGCAGAGCGGCAAGGTGTGGCGGCACGAATTGCGACACGGCCTTGTGGGCAAGCAAGGCTCTGCACTTCTTCTCGTTCTTCTGCCCGGCGGCCGTGATGAAGACCCCCGGCTCCTGCTCAGCCGCACGGTAATCTGGGCAAACCAGAAATCAAGAATCGAACTGCGCACCTGCACCTCCTGGCTGGTGAGCACAGGCAGATCCTGGCCGGGTAGATTCGGAAAAGTGATAAGAGTTGATAAGAGACTATGGAAAACAGGCTGACTGGCCTGCAAAGACAGCTTGCCGCCCTTGGGAACTCCTTTGCTACCTTTGGGAGGGAAGCCTTTGCCCTTACCACGAGAACGTGAAGGCACGATGCCAACCCCGACTGGTGGGGTGCTTGGTAATCCCAGGAGGGACTCTAGACCCGGCACAGAGGCCAAGCTCTCAAGGCCAGGTATGTTGGCAAGAGCCCCGGGCGTTAGCCCAAGGCTTGCAAGGGCCGACGCCACCGCGGCATCGCCAGCAGCGTTTGCAGGAGCCGCTGCCGGTGCTGCCGGGGCTGTTGGGGCCGGAGCTACTGGTGCAGCAGCTGACGGGACTTGGCCGGCTCCGTAGCCTAGCTGGCCCAGTGCCGCAGCTGCTTCGGCCACGGCCGCAGCCCAGCCTCAGAGCACCCCAAATCCAGGCTGGTTTACCATCAACTTGGCATAACTTGTCATCAACCTGCCTTCCAATGGCACTGCGTCTATCACTCTTTTTCAGACTGAGGTTGCAGCCGTCATGACCAGCCGGTGTGGGGAGAGGCTGTGCAATGGCGGCAGGGGTCAGAACAGGCATGCCTGTTATGCCAGTTGCCTGTTGGAGTGGAACTGCCAACGTCGGTGATGTGGGCAGCGGCTGCATGAGTGGGTACCCCAGCGTCTGGCCAAGGGCTTGCCCAGGCACCGCTCCCGGCCAGGCAGGAAAGCCAAAGCCTGGAATGGTGGGTGCAGCGAAGGCAGATGGACTGGCCAAAGCACCTTGCGCAGCAACACATCCAGATGGGGGTATGGTGGGGTTCTATCAGATCCCAAGCCTGGGATAAGTAATCCCGGAGCCCTGCCTGGGCCTGGGCCCACGCCCGGCGGGTAAGGGGCCACTCCTGCCGCAGCCTCAGGTCGGGCTGGAGTCATGCCAAAGGCCGTTCAGGGGTTTCGGGACGTCAACCGGAACCAATATGTCCATATCAAGTAGCTCGTGCAAATCATGTTGGACCAGTGTTGCCGCTTCTTGCATCGGACCGAAAGCGCACGACCCCAAAGCAAGAAATATACTTGCTGACCGCTAATAATGCCAACCATTTTGGAGCCTGTGAACATCGTAATGCATAGTGGGAAAAGCCGCTCAGGACCCAACATCGAAACCCTGCCATTCATCTGGGCTTTTGTGTCATGGACCAGGATACGAAGTAGATCTGATGTTAACCGCTCTGCCACACGGGTCTCAGCTTCAGTCGGTCTGAGAAGTTTAACTGAGTTATAAGGAGCGAAATGAAGCACAAGCAATTCTGTGAGAAAAAACCACAAAATAAGATTACTTGGATAAAGGAACTGCTTCGTCTCATCGTTACAGATGCGGATCATAAGCCGGAAGTCTCGATCCGAATAGGTCAACGTAGGTCCAGTTTGAGCCCCATGGCACTGAGCACGGTGGATTCGACAGGGCGATTGCCATTTGCAAAACAAAACTGCTAAAAAAACTTCTGCTGGCCCTGATTTGAACCCTGCTTGCCAGGCTGAGCTGGCCAAGTAAGCCAAGCGCAGCAATTGACGCGACAACTTGCCCCAGAGACGTGGGACATTTGTTGGCACGGAAGCACGAGAACCATATGAAGCACATATGGTCAGCGGGTTGATTCTAGGGGGAGGGAGGGGCGAGGGGGCTTGTCATATGTTGCGACAATGGTTGATTCGTCTCACTTTACCAAAAAAATGAATCTCAGAGGTCCCCTCTGCCAAAAAAACAAAGACCACATCTAGCTTGCAACCAAAAAGCTGCATGAGCTCAACTTCTTGCGGTGCAATCAGGTCTTCCCGGTTCCCCCCTGTTCCCCCCTGCAGAGCTGTCTTTATCAGGCGGATGGGCATTCGTTGCTGAACATGACACATTACAGTTCATGTTTGTCATGTCCCCTGTACGAAGGTCTATGTCAGATACGAGGAACGCCTCTTCTTCTCAGCCAGCGTTGAAAATCTCCCATGTTTGTACCGATGACGTTCTGAGAATGAGACAACACAGACAAACATGAGAAAAAAGCTCTCCTGAGCCTAAACTGGCCTAAACTCTTCTTTGCACTGAGCTTGCGGCCCCAGGCGGTCTCGGAGCTGCCCCATAGCCGGACATGCTGCTCAAGTCGCTCAAGTCGCTCAAGTCGCTCAAGTCTCGTATTGAGCCTCTCAGCTTAAGTTTGGTAAAGTTTGGGGGGAGCTAAGAAGCTAAGGCATCAGAGTCATCAGATAGTCTTGCGCCAGTTCTCAGATGTAAGCTGCAAACTGCAGCGCTTGCACCAAGACTTTACTTTTGACTTGCGGAAGCGGCGGTGCTTCCCCATGAGCTTGTTACACACTCGTGTTCACCCTGACTTGTTTTCGTATTGCTAGGATGCCTGCAGCACGAAGGCAGAGTGTTCGATGCGCAGGCAAGCACAACTTTAACAGGAAAACTGCAGTTGACAAGGGCTTGACATCCTTAGCGCCCTTGTTGGGTGCCTGGTCAGGGCGGAATTACTTTGCTGACACTTGTTTCTGCTTTGGACATCTTTGACCCGTAGCAGTGGGTGCGAATCGTAGGCGCCTGAGATGCCGGTGCTGGCTCCGAGAAACATGGAGCTACCACAAACCTGAGCATGACAGACAAGGCTTCAGCCACCTGCGACATGCAATGACATGCAGTTTCAGTATGCATCTGTGTGACGACTTTTTGGGCTTCGTTATAAGAAAGAAGGCCCCGGTTTTGGGAGAGAAGCTACTATAATCTGCATGTGTGATTACGTGTGCATATGACTCTGTGTGTGTGTGTGTGCGGAGCGCGGGAGCGGGCCTCCCCAACACCAAGGCCGCAAGGATCGCCGGCAAGGTGCGGGCTCGCCTTCTCAAGGGGGCAGCCAAGACAGCGCGTGCTTTCTTTTCCGGTTTTCGCTCGTTTCCCCTTTTGGGCCCTTCCCCCAGTGCGCTGCCTCAGGGCCGAAGACACGGCCCAGACCATCAGAAGTACTCACTTTGCTTTGCTGTGTGCAGCGATATCAGAGTTTCGGCGTTTTCATCTTTCTGGCTCGGTCTTCGTATTGGATCGAGGTGCCTGAAAGCTTGAGATACTCTTCGGAAGATCTGTGCAAGCAGATGCGGTAGAATGCGGATGGGTGGAGTTTTTTTTTCTTCCTTTTTTTTTTTTTTTGCTTCCTTTTTTTTTTTGGTTTTCTTGGCTTTTGCTAGGAAAGCCACCATTCCCTCCGTATTTTCAAAGGATTCTTACTACTCTTACTCGGATTAGGAGCTGGTTATTTTTTGGGGGTATTTTTTTGGTTTTTTTGTTGGGTGTTTTTTGTGGTTTTCATGTGTCATCTAGAAAGGTCCTCTATTTACTATATGCGAAAAGGTATATATGTATATATGTATATATGTATATATGTATATATGTATATATGTATATATGTATATATGTATATATGTATATATTTATATTTGTATGTATATATGTATACTTATATATATATATATAGTTTAATTATTTAGCTATCTATATTTACATATATTTATGTCTTTATGTATATTCATATATATTTATATACATTGAGATATACATATATATATATATATATACATAATATATATATATATATACATTTAGATATATATATATATATCTCTTATATTGATACGTATTTATGTATATTTATATATATGTATTTATATATATGGATGTATAAATATACACATATATATATGTTTATATATATTTATTTATTTATTTATTTATTTATTTATTTATTTATATTTATATGTGTTTATATGTGTTTGTAAGTGTCTATATATATATATTTATATTTATATATACATATATATAATTATGGATAATTCTATATATGTCTATAATGTATATATACATATAGCTTTATGTATATTTATATATTTATGTATTCATGTACTTATGTATTTGTGTATTTGTGTATTTGTGTATTTGTGTATTTATGTATTTATGTATTTATGTATTTATGTATTCATATATTTATATATTTACATATGTATATATTTATATAGTTATGTATTTATACATTTATGTATTTATATCTTTCTATATTTCTATATTTATACAAGTTTCATATGCTTTGAAGCAAGCTTGCACGGCTTAAAAAAAGCGGGGGGGTTAGGGGGGGGCGCAGCCCCCCCCCCCCATTTGCAAACGCAATGCTTGCATGATGGGTTTCCAAAAGTTTCATATGCTTTGAAGCAAGCTTGCACGGCTTAAAAAAAGCGGGGGGGTTAGGGGGGGGCGCAGCCCCCCCATTTGCAAACACAATGCTTGCATGATGGGTTTCAAAAAAAGTTTCATATGCTTTGAAGCAAGCTTGCACGGCTTAAAAAAAAGCGGGGGGTTGGGGGGGACGCAGCCCCCCCCCATTTGCAAACACAATGCCTTTCAAAAAAAGTTTCATATGCTTTGAAGCAAGCTTGCACGGCTAAAAAAAAGCGGGGGGGTTGGGGGGGGGGGCAGCCCCCCCCATTTGCAAACACAATGCCTGCATGATGGGTTTCAAAAAAAGTTTCATACGCTTTGAAGCAAGCTTGCACGGCTTAAAAAAAGCGGGGGGGTTGGGGGGACGCAGCCCGCCCCCATTTGCAAACACAATGCCTGCATGATGGGTTTCCAAAAAAGTTTCATATGCTTTGAAGCAGCTTGCACGGCTAAAAAGAAGCGGGGGGGTTGGGGGGGGGGCAGCCCCCCCATTTTGCAAAACACAATGCCTGCATGATGGGTTTCAAAAAAAGTTTGATACTTTGAAGCAAGCTTGCACAGCTAAACAAAGCGGGGGGGTTGGGGGGGGCGCAGCCCCCCCCATTTGCAAACACAATGCTTGCATGATGGGTTTCAAAAAAAGTTTCATATGCTTTGAAGCAAGCTTGCACGGAAAAAAAGGGGGGGGGTTGGGGGGGGCGCAGCCCCCCCCCCATTTGCAAACACAATGCTTGCATGATGGGTTTCAAAAAAAGTTTCATATGCTTTGAAGCAAGCTTGCACGGCTTAAAAAAAGCGGGGGGGTTGGAGGGGGCGCAGCCCACCCCATTTGCAAACACAATGCTTGCATGATGGGTTTCAAAAAAAGTTTCATATGCTTTGAAGCAAGCTTGCACGGCTTAAAAAGAAGCGGGGGGGTTGGGGGGGGGCGCAGCCCCCCCCATTTGCAAACACAATGCTTGCATGATGGGCTTCAAAAAAAAGTTTCATATGCTTTGCAGCAAGCTTGGGGGGGGGGGGCGCAGCCCCCCCCATTTGCAAACACAATGCTTGCATGATGGGTTTCAAAAAAAGTTTCATATGCTTTGAAGCAAGCTTGCACGGCTTAAATAAAGCGGGGGGGGTTGGGGGGGGCGCAGCCCCCCCCCCATTTGCAAACACAATGCCTGCATGATGGGTTTCAAAACTCTCGAACTCGATTCCGCAGCGGTCTGGTCTGACCTACTAGCTAGCTGTAGCTCATGACATATGTCACGGCCGCTCTGTGGCGGCGGTTAACAGCTTCGGGTATGGACATGCAAGGCAACTGCACAGGAACCGAAGTTCAACAAACTGTGCAGTACAGGGTCTCCAGCGCTCACAGTCGCTCAACCTAGCGTTCTCGCACTTACTAACTAGGGAGTAGACTGTGACAGCTCAGCTGAATAGTGAATGAATTGCCAAAACGAAGAAATGAAAAACACATCACGCCACTCTGCCTTGGGCAGGGGGCCGGAAACGGCAACCCCGAGACAAGTGCTGCGCAAGCCCTGTACACTGTACAACTTCAGGACTGAGCTACAACATGGTCAGCTCAATGATGGATCTCACTCATGAAAAGCAGTCAGAGTAGACCTCCATGGAGGGACGGACTCAGAGTCCACTAGAGCATCGAAATGCA